TCATGGGCCCGGATGGGCTGGCTTGTACACCGTATGACTCTGGCAAGGCTTTTGGCTCCCCTGCGGCTTTGGCACTTTGCCCTCCAAGCCTAGGGATCTGCAAAAGCCATTGCATACGTGGTTTCGAAACCATCGTGCTTGACCTTGTAGGCCGAGGTCTGCATCCCCGTAAGTGCCGGCACGGCTGAGTATTGCGGGGTCGGAAAAGGCGTAGTAGTGACGTCTCAGTCTCTTGCCACCAAGCAGCACACCGTCTGGAAAGCCCCGGTGGCCTTGCAAATCACAAACCAAATGCTCACCATTGCTGACGACCCATGTCCAGTGGCTGAAGGCATCTGGCAACAGCCCAACCCCTGATGACCACCCTGTGTTGGAGTTGAACTTCTCGAACTTGCCATAGAGAGGCAACTCGACCAGCATGCTCTCGTTCTTCGAGATCATCCGCCTCTTGGACTGGAACTGCTCCCTGCTGCTCGTGACGAGCTTGCCAACACGGAAGAAAACGTCCATGCGCTCCCCTCCTCGGTTGGGTCTGTGCTCTTGTACGAACTTCTCGGCATACGTCTGCGCAAGCTTCTGAGATGCAATGTCAGCAGGTGTGATGCGAATACCGGCGTTGTACCTCTCCGGCTTGATGAACTTTAAAACCAACTTTTGGCCTGGCTCAAACCCGTTCCAGTCGCCCTCGCCTTCAACAACTCCCATATAGGCCTCCTTGAAAGTGCCTTCTCCCAGCTTGTCCGACCAGTTCCACGTCAAAGACGCAAAGCGCGGCAATGCTGTCCCGCTTCTCTGCACGCCGACACCCGAAGCTCCCACGAACCCTGGTGGCACGGGCCAACTGAGCCCTGCAACCACCAAGAGGAGAAGCAAAGCGGGGCCGCTTTGCCAACATCTCCGTCTGAGTGGCATCGGAAGCATGGCTGGCATCATCACCAGACCGGATGTCAAGCCGGAGTTCACGCAAAACTAGGGCCGAGGCTAACCTCAAAGCAGCGAGAGTGCTTCAGCCGGTTGCATCCGAGTTACATACCTCTGTACGGTTTTGCTGAAATAAAGCGGCAACGATTGATGCATCCGGCAGCCCTTAGCCTAAATCCTGGATCCGAACTGTAATCCAATAACGAACATAGTCGTAAAGAAACCCGACACACAAACCCAATTACGCTGCAGAAACCCAAGTTGTTTCCCCAAAAGCCTGAAGTCTCAGGATTTCGTGGATTCCGGCCCCCGAAACCCTCAAATTACCCTGAACCTAAACCCGAATTTCCTCAAACATCCTTCGACTACCCTATATAGATCCTTTGGGGAATTTAGGCCCTAAACTCCGAACTCCAAGAATTCTAAAATCCCCAAAATCCCTCAACCTGAAAGTCTCTGAAGCCGGCTAGGGACCTCTCACTCCCACTCGTCTTCGGCTCGTCCGCCAAGAAGTCCGAGCACGAGCTTCGCGTTCGGATGGCCGAGACCAATCCTCGTCAGGGATTCGGCTTCAAAGCTGGCACAAAGGGTCCAAAGTACCGATATAGTAGAATGCAGGGATTCTACATTAGGAATTACTATTATGAATTGGGGAAGTATCCCCCATAACAGTACATCGGAGCCTTTGGGTGGGTAGCAGTTTCAGGAAATCAGGCAAACCCTGCAACATGTCAATTCATCCCGCATGATTTTGAGTTCCGGGACGTAGGGTGGTAACTCTGCAAAGCTTTAGGAGTCTAGAGTTAGGGAGCTCATGGGTATGGTCAGGCTTTTTCACATGCTCGCACACGGTGCTGCTGGCACAACTCACACAGCCCCTATATAGAGTTGTTCTGCAGTTTATGGAGGCTTGTCGAACCCTTAGTGCCGAGTACCCGAGCCCCAAAAAGGTTAACCTTTGAACAAAGTGTTGTAGGCTTATATAAACCCAAAAGGTAGAAGGTTACCTACTCAGCCACTAAGATAACCATTCACCATGTCACCCGTGTCATTCTCAGGCCTGCTAGACTCGACCTGAGACGGCTTCTTCATTGCCGCTTGGCTTTTAAATTAGGGTAACGTACGGGCCCTCATGATTAGAGTAGGATTTGGGGGGATTGCGATATACAAAAGGAACAAACAAGAAGTACAGGGACACCACGGGGATACGAATTCTTGCAGACCGTTTAAACCTCTTGATTATTGCTTATGGGTACTTACAGTCAGTCGGTGGCCCGGGAACCATTTCGCCCGCAAAGCGAGTATGACCATGAAGGGAACAGGCGAACGTTCCAGATCCTGGAGCGATAGAGAACAATAGCCACCTGCTCCTGATGCTGCGGCTGCTGCTGCTGCTGCTGCTGCTACTACTACCTGCCACCGCCACCATAGCTCTTGCACATGAAAGTTCGTTTGGAGCTCCATCTGCCTAAGAACTAGGGTCGACGTGGGTCTGAAGGAAATGAACAGGCGTCAAGAGTGAACCCGCAACAGCCCTTGGCAAAGATCCCCAGCCTGAAGTTGACACCTTAAAGCCGAAGCCCCAAACTGTGGAAGTTCAGGGGCCACGATGGGGGCGGCTGCGGCGTGTAGCGGACCGCCGCGTTCCCGAGGAAGCTGGAAGTCGTGTATTGCGGTTGACGACTAAAAACGACATTTGGGGGAAGCATCACCAGACCACAAATGTGATACAAGCATTGCAATCCTGACGAGATGTAAGGGCACGAATCATACCACTTTATTCCTGATACTAGCTTTCGGCATAATTAAATCGGTTTGGACGATGAGAGAGTTTCTTGGCTCCAGGCACGGTCCATAGGTTGGCGAGATCGGGAGATTGGAGGATTTATGGGGTTTGCGGATTTGAGCTGTTTGACATGCGGTTGTTGATCTATGCGCAAGGCAGCAAACCTCCTGCACTCATTCACAATCAACCTCGCTCTGCTGAAAGGCCTGATCCGTTGATTACAGCCTTTACCTCAGTCATCAACCCCAACTACCCAGCATGTGTCTCCGCTCTACACATTGGGGAACCGGAACTCCGAGATCCAAGCAGTAAGATCCAAAGCGTCGGTTGTGTATCCTAGGAGGCAGGTAGTGGACATAGACTGTAGCCCCTCCCAAGTGCGACGTCGTGCTGAATCTCCGCTTCGTGGTATACGGCCTGGTAGCATCAGGACGACGACCCCCATGCTCGCAACTGTGTTGCAGCAACTTAAGATGATGCCGATGCAAAGACCTCTGAAGGCGCTGAGAACCAAACTGGCATCATGTAGCAACCTGATTAAGAAACCTTGGGCCTTTATTAGGGTTCCTTATATGAATCCTACTATTTTGGGGTTATAGGCCCAGGGTTCCTTAATCGGGCTCCTACATTATATCCTATTGCAAAAGAAAAAACAAAAAGGGTGCCTGCACATGGAGCTCGAAGAACTGCTGCTGGATCCCTCCCAGAACTCATCCTTCATGGGGCTTTAGGGCTTGCAGGATTTGAGGCTTCAGGATTGGGGAGGGCTTATAGACTTACAGAGTTTAGGGCTTCGGGGTGCGCAATGAAGAGTCAGGGGTCATATACACAGGCTGTATAATATAATAGATCAGGCTGCGTGCTGGCCAGGGCTTTGCCCTTCCCGTGCCTGCCTTGAAATCTCAAGAGCCTTGAAGCTTTCAGGCCGCTGGGGTTTCAAGTCGCTCTCTTTCTTTGTACTATAGGGGCCTTAATATTTGGAATAAGGCTTTGGGGCTCAGTACACTATAATGAGTAAGTTGTAACAAGGAACCCCCCACAATAGCATAGGTAGTTTTTTAGACCCTTGTATTATTACTTATTCCTGCTCCGAAGCCTCAAAGCACGAACCTCCCACGGCCTCCTCCATGTCGCTGGATCGTAGGGGACGCCTGCGATGCCGGCATATCGGGGTCAGTTGTAACGCTTCAATCAATCCGAAAAAGAGGTTTGCCGAACTGACTCGGCCTGATTTGCATTTGTAGCCTTATTAACCGATTGCAACGATACATACGAAACAGCTATTCGGTCCCACGAAGTCTGAAATTGCTGCCATATGCCAAAGGGTGATTGCCAGCCGCGGTATACGGACTTTGGACTATTTCCATGCTGAGCTCGACGGCTAAACTATACTGCCGCTGGCCCATTCCTCAGAAGACAGATCTCGTTCCTGAAAAGACCTGTAATCACAACTTTTCCACCAAGAACTCCATGTCCTCCCCCAAAAACCCTTAAAGCCCAAACTCTAAACCCAGAACCCTTCATGCATGAACCCAAAACCCTTAAAGCCTACATCCGAAGCTTTGATAGCCTCAACCATTTAACTCCGCCAAAATACCCCGCGCTGGGCCCCGAGAGTAGAATGCGGCTACTGCCTACTTCGCACAAGATCGGGAAGCACCCTCGAACCCTAGAGCTCCCTATCGATCTATCTATGTCTATATATATATATGTATATAAAAATGTACGTATATATATATATACATACGTTTATAACTACACATGTTTATAAGCAGGACCCTCTTATGGAGTCGGGGCAACCCCAGGCCCTGAAGGAGACACCTCAGACACGTCTGCAGAGGTGTGAGCTGCGCCGGATCGTTGAGTTGCGTGGAGACGGGCTGTTGGTCGGAGTCGGTTCCATGCTTCCTTGGAGGATTGGGCTCTGGAGATCGAAGTGTTCATATTATGTTTTGTTGTATTCTCTCTCTCTCTCTCTCTCTCTCTCTATATATATATATATAATGTACAAATCGGCATACATATACGTATATGTGGAGAGGGGTTGGGGGTCACCGTGGGGTTTGGTGATAAGATTCAGGCTTCAGGGTTTAGGAAGTAAACCTGCTGTTGGGATCTACCCATAAGGCCACAAATTGATGCTTCAGGCTTACATGGCTTAGAGCTTTGAAACCGCCAGGTTGACTTGTCACTACCCCGCTCACCCCCACCACACCACCAGCACCACCATCACCGTACGGAAGCAGGATAGGGGTGTGGCTCTTGTTGGTTGCTGTGGAGGTGAAGCGCATGCCCGCCGCGCTTCGAACCGCTTGGTGAGTCTCCAGCATCGTTGCCGTATTCTTGTGCTGCTTCCTTTACTAATGTGGCGTTCACGACACGTACCACACGAGTCTGTCTTCCCTACCGGACCAACCATGCAAGCCCAGATGCAAGTCCTTGCTGCGGGACTTGTCCTGCATGCATACGTCGGGGGCGTCTCGGAAGTAGAGCGGACTTGCCGTAACGGCGGAGTTGCTGGGCGAGGGCATTTCTCGTTCCATCACAACCGCAGCAACTCAATCGCAGTCGCAAGAAAGCCAACCAGAAACCCGATATGCACAAAGACAGCAACGAGAAGCAATCACAGCAACAAAGCAAACGACGGAAGCACCAGCTGAACCCTCGTCAACCTACACCCCCAACCCTGAACCAAACCCTGAACCTCCAATCCCGAGACCCCAAACCCAAACCTGAACACAAAACCTCAAATCTCAGGACCCAGACCCAAACCCAACCTCAAATCTCAGGATCCGAAACCCTAAAGCCCTAAACCTCAAACCTCAATGACCCAAAACCCTAAACCTCAATGACCCAAAATCCTAAAAACAAAAACTACCCGGACACCCGAAAAGTCCTCCTTCTGCGGGGAGAAAAAGCCCGGCTCGTCAAGGAAGGACCATCCCGACATTACGGACATTGTGGGAACCTCACGAGTTCTTTGGGGGATTTTTTACTTGGAGGCTCATGGGTAGCTATAAGTAGGGTTATAAGTAGGGTAACTATACTTATAAGCCATATTACCCCACTTATAACTACCCATGAACCTGCAAGTAAGGGCCTGCGGCTTGATGCTAAGAGCCGCAATAAGTGCCTACTTCTATACGGTTTAGAGAACTAGGGATTAGTAGGTTATCTAGCCCCCCCTTGGACTGCCTCCCCCCAAAAAGGATCCTATAGCTTTCGGGACCCCTCGTCTCTCTACGCACCAACAAGGTAACTAGGTGGAGCTGTTGCCAGACTTCTCGGCCGGCCTGGGCCCCAACGCCAAAACCCCAAACCCCTAAACCCTAAATCCTAAACCCCCAAAGCCCAAAACCCTAAACCATAAAACCCTAAAGTCTAAATCCTACAACCCTAAATCCTAAGCTTCCTAAACCATAAAACTCTAAAGTCTAAATCCTACAACCCTAAATCCTAAGCTTCCTAAACCATAAGACCCTAAAGTCTAAATCCTACAACCCTAAATGCCTCCTGACGGGTTTTGAGCTTTAGAGTCGACTTGGACCCTGGCAAACATCGACTCCGAGCCCCAGGATGCCCCAGACCTTCCAAAATTCCTTAATTAAGGAATAGACCTTATTAGGGATCCCAGTATAAGTTAAGGTATATTCCTTAATTAAGGGATTTGGGAAGGTCTGGGTATATACCCCCTTATAGTAGAAGCCAGAAAGTTGGAACATCAGACTCCTCATGCCCTTAAGGTAAAGTATAAGGGATCCTGGCACTAATCCTCCTTAAGCCATGTTGCAACTTTCTGGCTTCTACTGTATATACCCCTGCTACGTTTGGTACCTATTAGAAGCTGCCCACTACAAGGATTATATTAGGGCCCTATCATATTCCTACTATACCACTATTACAGGGTGGGGGCCCCTTCTAAGGTAACTATTACAAAAGCACCCCTTGATTACGGCCCCCACTCAGTAATAGTTGAATAATGTTCATAATCTAGATATAGTGGGACCTTAATATAGCCCTATTATAGACTCTTACTGTATGGGTTCCGTACCTAAGGCACCCCAATTTAGAGAACCACAAAAACAAACCTTGACGGACAGCTTCCCGAAAAGGAGGTTTGGCTTCGAGGCCTCAGGCCTACGTGCTACTTGGGTTCCCAATCCAGCTGTGACTGGGACCCCGAAACCATATGGGTGGTTGTCAAAATTAGGGTCCCTTTTGGGCTCCTTACAATACGGCACCCATTATTTCGGGTACCTAAATAGGGACCCCAATTCTGACAACCACCCATATGGGTTCAGGGATTAGGATTTCCAACTGTAATGGGAGTCTGAGAAACTAGAGTGCGCGACCCTTACATCAATCCTGAGTATCGGGATCTTCAATACAAGGCCCCCTAATTTCAAGAAGCCCCAACAAACCATGACGAGGGGCAATGCGCACAGCAAGGGGAAAGCGAGCTGGCTGGTGGAAAAGGCTGAAAGGTCAGCGAACGGTATGCTTGTGTCGGCAACGCCGGATGCTCCAAATGTACCATGGTGAGGGGTATCTATGGCTCAAACACGTCGTTCGCGCGCAATACTTGAAAGCCGAAATGCAATTCAAGACGTGCAACAGAACGAGCATGTCAAAGAGCTGCTGGGAACGTAGGCAAGCAAGCATTTTCAACTGCAGAATGCCCGCGACAGATCGCCACTCCAAGTTTGCACGCTTTTTCGTTTTGATCCCGGCGAGCTTTACGTTGGGTACAGTCTTTACGGGGCACACACACAGCTACCAAAGCGCCATCCTGCCACTATGGTTTTTTCACTCCCTCAGCAAAGGCCCATCATAACAAACCATCGCCTTCTGTAATTATACTGCCTGGGCTTACTCAAAGGCAAAATCGACATCTGCGTCATATAAATCGGGTCCTGTAAAGTAATCATAAGAGCTGGTGAGACCATCCGTTCACCGTCTGGGCCTCTGCAGCTGTCGGCTTCAAGCATTTGAATCATATGGCCGTCGGTCATTTCATTGCCCAAAACAGCGCCCCCTAACCAAAACAATCCTGATTCTGAAGAAGGCGCTTGAAGGCATGGCTAGTTCAATGTGTTACGACGCGAAGTCTCCGACCATGCCATGTCGAGTCTAGAACATCAGAGTTTGGGGATTGCTATGCTGATCAGAATCCGGCCGTTCTTGTTGGAAAGGCTGCCATCCTGCAAAAGCCAGCCGCCACCGATAGTGCTGAACAGGGAGACTACACCGACTCAGAAGCAGTTCATGTCACAAGGGAGACCAATGCTGACAAAAGGCAACATAAATCGGGCTCGCCCGGGCGAAAAACATCAAAAACCGTAAACCCTAAACCCAAAGCCACTGAGCTCACATGATGGTGCCATCATCTACTCGACTGGTAGCCCCGTGCAGAACCGTAGCGAGAGGGTCCTAAGTATTCTAGGACTCTAGGACCGGGATACAAGTCCACAGCTTCCCCACCGTTTTCTTCGGAAATCGCGAGAACGAAGAAGCGAGCAGAACACAAGAGCCTGGTGCAAGTTGTACATGCCCATATCCTTCCTTAGCATCCGGCAGCGGGATTCCGAGGTTCTGCGAGCATAGGCGGCGGCTGCTGCTATTACTACTGCTACAACAACTACTACAACTACTACAACACCTACTACTACTACGACGACGAGCAGAACCACGACCACCACTACTTTTTGTCACTCGTGCTCGGTGGTCACTACCACACCACAACAGTAGTTGTTTTTTGAACATATCCGAAAAGCGGGTGTAGGTTTAAATGTTTCGACTCGTGAGCTCGCACGATGCAAGCACGGATTCCGACAGTCTAACTCCACTGCGTGAGACCATTTAATCAAATCAGGACACGAGGAGGTGCAAAAAACAAAAAAGTGTAAGTTTTGGGCTTGTCGAGTTTACGGCTTCGGGTTTGGGCGGGCTCATGGATGAAGGAGGTCTCAAACTTCCTTAGGTTTGAGGTTTTGGGGTTTAGGGCCCAGAATTCACAGTCCAAGGAGCCCCTAACTGGTAGCCTACTCCAGGGGCCCCATAGTAGTTCCTTTTTGGGGATTACCTTATAGGATTCTATATATGAAGCTCCATTTTGGGATTACCTTATAGGATTCTATATATGAAGCTCCTTTTTGGGGATTACCTTATAGGATTCTATATATGAAGTTCCTTTTTGGGATTACCTTATAGGATTCTATATATGAACCCCAAAAAGGAACTACTTTGGGGCCTCCGGGTAGGGGCCTTAACAAGTAGAATAGGGTTTTGGGCATTCCCACTTTCCGCAAAGCCTCGATGCTCACGCCCTTGCTCTCAATGGGTGTCGGGCTGCCATGTAACACACTAGTACATAGGCCTTAGGAATCCTACACCCAGAACGAACCCAGCTGTCGGAAGCACCCGCTTTGCACAACCCTACATCCTTTTTCAGCATGGACCCTACCCCCTAAACCACTTTGCTTTGCACAACCCCAAACCCTGAACCTTAAACCCCTAAACCCTAAACCCCTGAACCCTAACCTTTGCTTTGCACAAAAAGGGGCTTATAGTCCCAAATCATCTCAAGTGCTCCTGGACGTGCTCCCTTGGCCTGGAGTAGCTCGATTTTAGGGCATTGGGCTTTAGGGTTTATGGTTGACTTGTGAAAGTCACTCTGTCACTCTTAGTCGTGTAGGTAGAGGTGTTTGGGGTTTAGCCGGGGGTCATCTGCATTTCGATCCTGGGCGACGGCAACATTTGTGTTCTGTCCTGCGGCCCTCTGTTAATTGAAGTTGCAGTGAGTGCAACTCCGCGGTTGCCAGATCCACTACCACGATTTCGACAACTGCCTCCGCGCTTTTCTGTGATTTCGGCGAATATTGCGCCATTGTCGTTTCTGCTGAGGTGTGGGTACTACCAGAATCATGTGAGTGGACACATGCATCCTCATCGCTAAAAGACAGTGGCCAAATATATAGCATCTGTCTAAAATCCACATGCCACATGGATGTTGTGAGATGAATGTTCTATTCTGCCAGTGGTTCCAAGCCTACAGTCCCACTTGCAACCCCGAACCCTAAACCCTAAACCCGAACCGTCGACCGCCTACTTGAGAGAAGACGATATGCTTGTCATGGAGGGGCTGAGGGGCAACTGACTCACAAGCCGAGGCTTAAATCCTAAGCTCCAAGGATCTACCTGGTAAACAGTAAACCCAACTGAGGCTCAACAATAACATCGCACTGTCGGAAGCCCTCAGGTGATTTGCCGAGCAGCTGTGTGGAAAGCCTTCCCGCCCTCTCCCACCACCTTGTGGCTTAGGGCTTCGGGTGTAGCTCTTGTGGGGTTTATAGTCTTGTGACTTAAAGTTTACGCTGTATGCTTTGGTGCCTATCGTTGTAGAGTCTAGGGTTCTGGGATTATAGGCGCATGGGTCTTCATGTATAGAGCTCAGCAGACTCGAAGCACGTTGAAGTACTGATGCGTTCATGATTTATGCCGGCGATGTAGCCCGCAGATTTCGGGGGGTCGAGGTTCAGGGCTCACAGGCTTGTAAGGCTCATATAGTGTGTTTGCAGGGGGCTGTAGGCTCAGGCCTTTCGCGCTATCAGATTTTCGGGATTTCAGAGTCTCTTCTGGGAGCAACATCGGATCCACCAAAGCATATTGCAAGTGCGGAGGCCGGCATAAGGTTACGATCAAGCGAGGATCCACACTCTAGACATGGGAGACCCTGCCCAGCGCAGCTTAGTAACAAGGTCCGTGCCGAAGGTGTAGAGCTTCACAACTGCGTCTCGGACGTCATCGTCGATGTCGGCCACCTCCCAGCCATAGGGCATCCTCGGCTGATCTTACTGGTTCAGGGTTCAGGGTTTAGGTTTCGGGTACGCGCGCCTGCTGCAAAAGATTTTTGGTTGAGGGTTTTGGGAGAGCTCATGTTGCAAAACCATCTGGGCCCCGCTGGTGGATGGCTTCTCCCCGCTCCCCCTCCACTCTAAGGCAAGAGAAGCTCAGAGTGGATGCACTCATACTCCCACCTTAAACCCTAAACCGTTATATTCTTATTCCTTCACAATAAGTGGTTTCATCAACAGAGCCGAGCTTCTGAATACGTGCTTTCTGACCTGCGGAATCTCCACCTGAGTTGGGGGGTGTGAAATCGATCGTCGCGTAGTACCGGCCATTGAACTCCACCGAGTTTGCCTTGTGCTCCTCCGTGATTTGTGGCTTGTCTGGACCTCGGACGGCCGGGGGCGGGATGCGCTTCTCCATCTTCTTCTTCTCAGCCTCACGGCGCTTCTGCGCCTCGCGCTCACGCCTGCTGCGGCTGCGGCTAAAGCGACGGTCACGAGGCGGGGTGCGACGTGGCGGGGGGCTATACCTGCTGCCACCGCGGCCTCCACTGCGACTTCGGCTTCCTCGGCGGGACCGGCCTCGGTCGCCTCCGCCTCCGCCCCTCCTGTCATCCCGCCTGTAGCTCGGGCTTCTGCGCTTGTAGCTGGGGCTCCGCCTGCTGCGGCTGTCTCGTCCTCCTCTGCGGGCTGGCATGGCTCAATGATGCCTGCGTCACGATTTATGACTGTATCTTCTTTGATACTTGAAGCCACACGCCGCAGCGATCGGTCAAGGTCGCTGAATATGAAAACATGTCAACTTCCTGCAGACACTGCCGAAGTGCAGGTATCACATTCCGATCCTCAACGTCCCTAAAGGGCCTCTGCATGTAGCAGTTTCGGGTGCAGGAGAGAGGCAAAGGGCAAAAAACGACGCTGCTCCTGATGGCATATAGGTTCTTCTATATAGAAGACGTGTTTAAAACTAGTCATGACTCATAAGCACGTCTAATAGGTGTAACGTATATATGATAATCACAGTCGTAACTATAGGAGCCTGCATGCGGATTCCAGGCACACCGCCAGCTGCGCTAGGATACGTCGCAAGCAGTACGGCGCACATGCTACAAACGATGTCCAGGCTATCGAGTAGATGGATCAAACCGGAGATAACCGGAGCAGTCACGAAATCCCACACATGGAGGTCCTTTGGCTCCACATGGAAAGCCCTGTAAAACATTGCAGAATAGCTGGGGCTGAACTCGACATCCGTGTCTTCGTTAGAGCAATCTCATCGTTTAGTCTTACTACTCATCATGACACCAAGCCATGCCGACCTTTATGGGAACTTCCGAAAATAGGGGGCCCTAATAGAGTACCCTAAATAGTAGGATCCCTAGTATAAGGACCCCACAATAAGGTACCCCCAATTTCGGAAACTCCCATATGTCTAATTTCTAAGTACTCGATAAGTGTGCCGACTCGATGCTCGGGGGTTTAGGTCTCCTCTGAGGCTCCAGTCTCGAATTTATCTGAAGTAAAGTCACCCTTTAGACCGAGGTCCGCACCGATCATGTACGACGACACGTGCATAGCGCTTATAAACGGCTTTGAAGCCAATTCCCATAAAACCTGCGTGGAGCTGCAGAGAACTAAGCAATAATGAGGCTTCGTTCGTTCTTTTGACGAAGGCTTCGGTATTGAAGGATCTGCATGCTCGAACTGTTGAACATGCAGTCTAAGTAGTGTGACTTTCTTGCATGATTTTCCGATACACCCGACGGACAATGAACACCGCTAGAAATGTGATGCCGGAAACCAAGGCAACAACAACTGAGTCTGAGTGCACTAGGCCCTGAAACAAGAATATACGCAAAGCTCTTGGATACTCTGAGTTTCAGAATCATGCGCGATGCACAGCACCAGTAACAGTGTTGCTCTGTGCTGTCCTGAGCCCTCAACAAGACACGCAAGTCCCACTGCCCCCCCCCCAACAAAAAAAAAAAAAAACGTAACTTCTCCTTCGGACCGCGATGTACAGACCCTAAAACTCCTCCCTCCCTCAACGGGGTAACGGTGAAGCAAGCACCGGATTATAAAGTAAAATCCACGGTAAGCATTTGTAACTTGTGATACGTAACATCAAGTCATGTTTACTGTAATGTACTGTATACTGTATATTCCGGTCCGGCAACATAGTCAACTGAAGATAAGCTCTGTAACAAGAGTCCAGACGCAAGCCTACGAGGCCATTGGCCCTTGGGTCTGTGCTGGGCTTCAAGCGTGCTGGTGGTTGTAGGAGCGTCCAGCCATTTCGGGTTTGTGCCGATGCAAGGCTTAAGGGATTTTCGGACTTACATTTGGGTGCAGGCATATTTAGGGTCTGCGTTCGCAACAAGAGGCTTGAGTTGCAGCTGGCAGCTGGTTCCACAATGCAAGACTTCAGAGGGATCGTGCGTAAGGATACCCCCAGAGAGACCTGTACCCCCTGCAATCGTTACTGTTACATTCAAACTGCCGAAATAAACTCCGGTGTGCAGGGTTGCGGCTCATGCTGACCATTCATATAATATATTCCGTTCGATCAACACGCCGAGAGGAAAGCCCGAATACACCCGAGTTCAAGCAAAATGTTGCCCATCATTAGTGATCCGCATTCCAGTTTGCGTCCCTTTTTTTTGAGGGGGGTGTAGCATTCTGCATCTTACATAGGATGTTCTGTAGACTGTGTAGGTTCTGGGCCTGCCGCCTAAGCCTTGCAAAAGTCAAAGCCAAACTGAACCGATGCCAGGCTCCCAGCCGATTGTTCTTTTCTGACCGTCGCCCTGCAAACAACTGGATGACGAAAGTCATCACTGCCACAACCACTACCACCTCAACCACTATCAATTACACGACTACTGCTACTGCTGCCACTGCCAGTGCCACTGCAACTGAAGTGGGTCAGTGCCACTGCCACTGCCACTGCTCTGCTGCTGCTCTGTTGCTGCTACTGCTGCAACTACCAGGACTACGACTGCGACTGCTACTACTACGACGACGACGACTACTTCTACTACTACTACTACTACTACTACTACTATTACTACTACTACTACTACTACTACTACTACTACTACTACTACTACTACTACTACTACTACCACTACGACTACTACTACTACTACTACTACTACTACTACTAGTACTAGTACTAGTACTAGTACTAGTACTAGTACTACTACTACTACTACTACTACTACTACTACTACTACTACTACTACTACTACTACTACTACTACTACTACTAGGCCATCCCCCCCTGGTGCGACGCCGGTCGCTGAGTTCGTGGATGCACAACATGTTCCATCACAGCTGTCGCGGTCCAAGATGCGGCTAGTGAACCACAGAGTAAGCTGTTAGAGAGCAGTGGAAAGTACCCTCCCCGCTCGGGGCGATGCAAAGAAGCAACATTTCGAAAGGTTTTGGACATGGATGCTCTCCAAACCAAAATGCGCTAGACAATGGACGTCATTAGGTTTGGGACATGGATGCTCTCCAAACCAAAACGCGCTAGACCATGGACGTCATTATGTTTTGGACATGGATGCTCTCCAAACCGAAATGCGCTAGACCATGAACGTCATTAGGTTTTGGACATGGATGCTCTCCAAACCAAAATGCGCTAGACCATGGACGTCATTAGGGTTTGGACATGGATGCTCTCCAAACCAAAATGCGCTAGACCATGGACGTCATTAGGTTTTGGACATGGATGCTCTCCAAACCAAAATGCGCTAGACCATAGACGTCATTAGGTTTTGGACATGGATGCTCTCCAAACCAAAATGCGCTAGACCATGGACGTCATTAGGTTTTGGACATGGATGCTCTCCAAACCAACGATTTGAATGAAAATCATGATCAAAATGAAGCCCAAAAAACCTTGATTCTGATCGCTAGGTTTTGGGCACGAAAATCGAGACACCCAAAAACAGTAAAAACTCATGAAATTCGCAAAGACTAGTGCTGTAAATGCCAGCATTTTTCGGGTGCGAGATTGATGAACAATGTTAGAAAATAAAATAAAAATACACACGAAACCAGGAACAGTTGCCACTTTCGATAACTGCGGAAAAAATGCTGTAAAACACAGCATTTCCGACCACAGCAAGTCCCAAAAATAAGAGGTTTGGGCGTCGCACCGAGGGGGGATGCCTTACTACTGCCACTACCACTACCACTACCACTACCACTACTACTACTACTACTACTACTGCTGCTGCTGCTACTACTACTACTACTCCTACTACTACTACTACTACTACTACTACTACTACTGCTCCTGTTGCTGATGCTAGGACTGGGTTCATAAGGGTTTAGGGCGGTGACGGTAGTGGTCGCATCAAGAGCAGCAGCCGCAGCGGCAACAGGATCAGGAGCAGATGGTACTTGTCGTCGTCGCAGTCGTCCTAGTCGTCGTACAGAAGCAAGTAGACGACGACGACGAGGACGAGACGACGACGACTACTACGACAACGACCAGCGAAACTACCTCAATCGCCAGCAACAATCACCAATCAACCGTCTCATCACGCTCATCTTCACCATCTCCATCACCAAATAGCCAGAAAACAGAGAACACACCGGAATTTGCTCAGGCAGGTTCAAACATAGGCTTAAGGCTCCACAGCATGCATGCGGCCTTTGTCGACAGGCCTACCGACGACAGCCCCAGCACGTCCAGCGCCGTAAAACGCCTTGGCAATCATGTTTCTGACCTTCGTGAACATCGCAGTTCCGAACGCTTGAACCAAAAGCTATGCGTCTGAACCAGCAGAAGTTTCAAACGATCGCCCCGCCGCAACACCATGCCGAGGTTTACTCAACCAAGGTCAGAGTTAGTATAGGGGCTTGAATAATTAGAATAATAGGGTTTTGGTGCCCATTATACTATGTTGTTATAACTATATATGCATAATAAGAAACCCCAAATAGTATTGGTAATTATTTAAGCCCCTGTATTACTCAATCAAGCTCACAGTTACGGCACTCCAAGGGAAGTCCGACTCGAGCCCCGCAAGCCGGCGCCTTCACAACGTTAGGGGTGTAGTAGGGTTTCGGCGCTCGCGCTCGGACGATCCAGGCGAGGCATGTGGTTCGATGTCTGCCCAGTGAGACGACACGGAAGGAATGTAGTAGGGTTTAGGGTTTCGGGTAGAGTTTCGGGTTTAAGGTTTAGGGTTTAGGCCTTGGGCGTATATGGGGGGTTCCATCCTACTGTTTTGGGTGTTATAGGCCCAGGGTTTCTTAATCAGGTTCCTACATTAGTAGAATATTAATTCCGACCCCCCAAAAAGCCTTCTTGTTCATCCTATACCCTTGAAAACCTGAGCACCGAGGCCGTCCATCGTGCTTGACGGACAGGCCCTGTTGCGTCGGCTCGAAGGACCTCAACTGACATGCACTAGACTATGATAGGCTACGTCTTTGTGGTCGACATGTAGTCTCGAACCTTCTGTCTGTCCGCTTAAACCTCTTCACCGCAGCGCACGTCAATCTGGCCATGCAGCCACTGAGTGGTGGACACATGCAGTGCACCGTCGTCAACCTCAGTTGCGCACGAATGGACAAGTATTAGCAACTAAATTGTTCAGGCTCGGTTCTCAGCATGAATGTACGGTTTAGGCTTTGCGCTTGGGCAGGGCTGAAGTTCTGAGCATCGCAGGTCCGAGG